ATGCAAAAATACTTAATTTAATATAGATGCTCAAGCTATTTTTTCACTTTTTATAGTAAGATTTTGAAATTAATCATTGATAACATGTTTTCCACATCTTAATATATTTAATTATTTACAGTATTATAATATAAATGTGCATATAATTTTTAATATCAAATTTAAAATAAAAGTTGCTCATAAAAAGTTTTTATTTTTGAAATTGTTTTGACAATAGTAATTATGTATTGATTTATTATGTTTATGTTAATAAATTTTTTTCAAAAATAAATAAAAATGTGAAAAATACAAGTAATTATTTTTATATAAAAGATACTAAATTAAATCTCTAGTAATTAGTTAATTTAATAGAGTTAATAGCTAATTTAATTTTTATTGAATTAAATTAAAAGAATTACCAAATAAAAAATATAAAAAAGCATAGGAAATGAAACAAATTATTCTAATTGCTATATTTATTTTTTGAAATCTGTTCAAAAGTTTCATTTTTCATCTTAGGATTTTGACCAGAACAAAGTTTATTAAAGTTGAGTCAATAAATAAAAATAAATTAAATATGAAAATTAATATTGAAGTAAAATAACTAAATGGTTTAAATATTCCATTTGAAAATCAGAGTTGAAAACAATTTCTTATAATATATTCCATTTGAATAACTGTATATTTATTTTGGAAAAGTTTAAGTATGTCTGGAATTACTATATTTAATACAAATATTTTGTTCGTTTTTTATTCGGCAGACTTTTGAAATAAAATTTGTACTGAAATTTATATTTACTTGTGAATGGATATCAAACAAACAAATCTTTGTTTATAAAAAAAATATAATCATTCATATTATTATATTGTTTGTGTAAGACTATTGTGACTGAAAAAAAATCAACTACTATGACCTAATTATTATTCATTTAGCTTTATGTCAATTATTAAAATAGATTTTAAAATTATTATTGGAAAAAAAAAAAATAATAACTCCAGTATACACAAGATACTAAATCAAGAACATTGTGATTAGAAATAAGAGATTATAATTATTATTATTTAAAAAAATATATTGTCTAGAAAAATTTTTATATATTTTTTCCATCATATTATGTAAAGATAAACAACTTAACTAAAATATACTAGGAACGTTAAAATAATTTAACATTAAGTATATATGAAATTAATCAGAGTTAACCTAACTCAATAAAAAGAATACAGTAGCCCTTCATTTTGCATGTCAGGAGGCAAACCAAATAAGCAATACAACAGATAGTACAATATAATCGACATATCCATCCATTCATTTTGTCTATTTTTGATCTCCATGCCAATTTCTTTTTTGTGGGTTTTATTTCATACAATGGTAGTTTCAATGTCAATGATTGGAATAAGATAACATTTCTTTGCCAGTAGAAATTCAATGACAACCAAATTTTTAAAAATTATTGGCTAAAGTGCTTTTATATTTAGGACACAAAGAAAAAAAAAGCGTAATATATTCAAATGAGTGATATAATGAAGAGCTACTATATTTATAAAGCTAGATAATAAAGAACATAAGAAAGAGAAAGATGTTAAAATCATTTAATTTTCAAATGGAATAATCATCTTATTCAATTTCTGAATCTTAAAATGCTTTTATTTTTCAAGAAAAATTAGTATTCTTTCTCTAATGCTATACCAGCACAATATAGGATACAGAATAAGATGGATTAAAATTATTATATATCTAATATAAAATAATAAACTAAAAAGGAAAGAAAAAGAAAGACTTACGAATGGAATATATACTTGCTTTAAATTATATGAAAAAAAAACAAAACACCAAAATAATCAAAAATAATAAATAACAATTATTTAGCTTTTTTGTAATTTTATTTCATAATATGAATAAAATAATCATTAGCTGTAACCAATTTTAATTGTTTTTCAAGAAACATTTGTATCTTCATAAACCTGCTTAATTAAATACAAGTCTATAAAAAATATCATACTTCCAATTTCTCACTAGTAAAACAAATATGTAATGCTTTGTAATTACTGTAATATATTTGTCAAAAGTTAAAAATGTTTTAATTTTTCATAATTTAAAAAATTTGCAAAGATCACATGAATTAGATGGTTGAAATTGTTTATGGTTATTTTCAGAAAGTAAATTGAAAATATATCTTATTATATGTACTATTAATAATAGAGAAAAACTAAATAAACAAAATTTTATTTTTATTAATTTAATTGAATGTGAAGTCTAATTTATGACAAAACTAAAAATAGACTTTGAATCTGGTGAAATCAAATAATTTATATCTAAATAAATTATGTTTTTAATCTAAAAAGTAAAGTATTTCACAATAATGTAACTAAGAATATAATTCAGTAAGAAAACAATTTACTTTATATCATATATTTTTTATATTGTAGTGATTAAAAATGAATAGTAGTTAAGTATATTTTAAAAAATCTGAAAATGACAATTTTGCTTTTTGCATATAAGTAAGTGATTTTAAAAAACAAAAAGTTTATATATGAAATATTTTCATCAATTTAATTGTTACTTAAAATCTTTAAAAACAAAATCTAAGAATTTTGAATAGTAACTGATTTAGAAATATTTGAAACACAAATATAAACAGAATCAACTCTCTTTTCCATTGAAATTCAACTGCTTTATCAAGCATACAATAAATGTTATATTAATAAATTTTTTTAAACAATCCAATATGTCTACATGTCATAATAGTTTCATATATCACTATAAAATCAATATATTTAGAATTAAAAAAGAATCTTCAATTTTGAAAAATTTTGTTAAGTAATTTACTCTTATATCAAATATGTAATATATGTCATTAAAATAATTTGTTAATGGTAAGTTAAAAATTGAATTTGTTCAATAAAATTATTAAAATGTACAGTATCTCAAAATGTAAGGAATAAAATCACTGATATATACTCTTAGACAAGTAATGAAAAGTAATAATTTCTTTCAATTGTATTTTTTAAAAAAAGTTTTATGTAAAGTGATTTGTTTGAAGACAGAACAAACAAAAAAATATTTAAGATCTCATGAAAAAAAATTAAAACTTGTTTCTGTACCATTAAAAAAGGATATGTTATGGAGAATTCAATTTTCCAACAGAAAAATCCTATAGAATTTTGTAATAACCTTCCTATTCAAAAACATTAAATCTTTCAAATTAAATATTTAACTATTTTTTTTATAATTTTAGACTTAAAATTCAAATTACAAATGCATAAATTATCAACATACACGTTATCAAGGAACAGATGTTAAATATACACATGCTCTCATTTATAACAACATTGTTTTTGCATACCATCTTACTGGATAAATCAAAATTTATAAAAAAGAATAAAACTCTTTTCATTTCATTTAAAAATTATTACAATAATAAACAGAAAATCTGAAAAAAATATTTTGTTATTATTAAGTTTTAAGCCAATCATTTATTTTATTTGTATATACAATTTAACTACNTTCATCAATTTAATTGTTACTTAAAATCTTTAAAAACAAAATCTAAGAATTTTGAATAGTAACTGATTTAGAAATATTTGAAACACAAATATAAACAGAATCAACTCTCTTTTCCATTGAAATTCAACTGCTTTATCAAGCATACAATAAATGTTATATTAATAAATTTTTTTAAACAATCCAATATGTCTACATGACATAATAGTTTCATATATCACTATAAAATCAATATATTTAGAATTAAAAAAGAATCTTCAATTTTGAAAAATTTTGTTAAGTAATTTACTCTTATATCAAATATGTAATATATGTCATTAAAATAATTTGTTAATGGTAAGTTAAAAATTGAATTTGTTCAATAAAATTATTAAAATGTACAGTATCTCAAAATGTAAGGAATAAAATCACTGATATATACTCTTAGACAAGTAATGAAAAGTAATAATTTCTTTCAATTGTATTTTTTAAAAAAAGTTTTATGTAAAGTGATTTGTTTGAAGACAGAACAAACAAAAAAATATTTAAGATCTCATGAAAAAAAATTAAAACTTGTTTCTGTACCATTAAAAAAGGATATGTTATGGAGAATTCAATTTTCCAACAGAAAAATCCTATAGAATTTTGTAATAACCTTCCTATTCAAAAACATTAAATCTTTCAAATTAAATATTTAACTATTTTTTTTATAATTTTAGACTTAAAATTCAAATTACAAATGCATAAATTATCAACATACACGTTATCAAGGAACAGATGTTAAATATACACATGCTCTCATTTATAACAACATTGTTTTTGCATACCATCTTACTGGATAAATCAAAATTTATAAAAAAGAATAAAACTCTTTTCATTTCATTTAAAAATTATTACAATAATAAACAGAAAATCTGAAAAAAATATTTTGTTATTATTAAGTTTTAAGCCAATCATTTATTTTATTTGTATATACAATTTAACTACTAAATTATTACCGAAACTTGAATTCAAATAGATATAATTTTCCCAGGTACAAAACTGAAACTAGCCATGTAATTACTTTAATGTATATAAGACATTGTTTTTTAAATTTATTATTATAATTTTTATTTAAAACGCTTAATAATCTATTTATCTTTCAATGTTTAGGATTATTTTATTATAATATTTATAGATTAACGCTGTGTAACCATTATTTTAATGCTAAATTCAAATATCTAGCAAAGGTAACTTTTATGTAAATTGTCTATATACAAATATACACATAATTACCTAAAAGTAACTTCTACTACAAATCTTATGTGTATTAGTTACAATAACAACGTCACACACATGATAGTGTCATGCAATAATTAAAAATCAGAGTAAAGAGCCAATGAAAATCGTTTGCAAATAAATAAACAATAAATATTTAAAAATTAAATAATAATAATAATAAATTATTATATAGATTTTAATAATATAACCCTAATATTAGGCTTAGTCTGTCATTCTTTTGATAATCTATATAAAAAAATAATATAATATATATACTCACAACTGAATTAAAAAACTTTTATTAACACCCAATTACTAATTTCATACGACTATATAATCCTTTATAATTATTTTAATTATTCGTAAACTATATTAGTTGGCACCATGATTGATTTATTAAAAACTTTCTTCTCTAATGTGAAGAAGCCGTCTTCGGAGTCGCCATCATTAGTAGCACGTGATACGCTACGACCAATTACGTACCGCGATCGATTCAGTATACGTTATACGTCAGAAAAGGCGATGAGGAAACGAAATAGTAATACATTACCTTGAAAAAAAGAACGGAACGGATCTGACGTAATGTATTATAACTGATAATAAAAAAAATTTATTTTTCTAATTTAATTTATAAAGTTAGAATTTATGTGCTATTTATTTCCTGAGGAAATAATTTTATAAATAATAAATTTATATATATATATACAGATGTATACAGTATTCTAGTTTTATGTTTTCTCATTCTGCTAAAGATGAGAGGAAAAACAGGAGAAAGATGTAAAAAATCTAAAAATAACTTAAAGACTTGATAAGTGTTGTATCAAATTTCACATTTTTTTTATTTATATATATATATACATATTTTTTTTACTTCCGAAAATGCAAAAATTTCCGGCTAATTGGTTCTTTTTTAACCTTGCAAAAGCGTATATTATTTTATGACAATTAAGCAAACATTTTCTAATTTAACAATATTTTTGAATTAAGTACATGTATTTCCTTTTAATGGTATTAATGTTCTAGTTAGCGTAATAGCATTTAAATAGCTTCATTATTTTTACTGTTGCAATTAATTAGATATGCATTATTGGCAATGAAAAACTTTACATGTGTATTCGAAATATTTCTAATAAGTGAAATAATTAGTTCATTATTTAAATAAAATAAGTTAGAAAATGCTTTTGTTTTATATTTTAATCATTTTAAATTACTTCATTATTTTTATTAAATTAAATAATAGATATTTAGAATAATCTATTGCTTAGCGTTTCCTTTAATCATGGGAAAGAAACAGGAATAACTAGAAAATAAACTTTACAGTTGGACTTTTTAATTTCGAAATTAATAGAAAAAATAACTGAAAAATTGTCATGAGAAAACTCGTGGTAAGATCGAATTTTTAAAATTTCTTTTTCTCTATGGATACCAAAAGGATCTCTTTCATGCTTATCATAAATTTGCCAGATGCATAATGGTGGCCATCAGCTGGCAATGAATGAAGTCATATCCCGATCATACCACACGTAAAAATTGTATTCTGGGATTCCGATATTGGCATGTATCAGAATCTGCTGAAGGATAACTGATGCCTTTAATATTTCGAACGTCAAGATTAAAACTGATTCAACTTGAGTCTTGATAATATTCTGGAATTTATTTTCTAAACCGATTTATTCTTAAAAAATCATAAGGATTCAATATGTTATAGCTAAATTCAGTTGTTTTATCACCGCGTACAAAGTTAAGAACTCTTCCGTAGCTACTCAATTTGTACTTTCTCCCCTCTCTCTGGCTCTCCTTCTTTCACCTTAATTAAAGTTTCTTTGTTCGATGAAATATCTCACTTATTGTAATTTCAGATCAATATTTAATTAACTTATTAAAAATTATCATTAGGTTTTTGATTTTTAGTATATTAGAGATGATGGAAATTTATTTCTCACTTTAGTAACATTAAATTAAATTATATGTTATATTGAATATATAAAAATAAATTTATTAGTATTTAATTCTTTTTAAACAGACAAAATACATATTTGTATATTTCTATGCGTTTTTACTGTGGTATATGTGATGATGCATGTAAAATATATAGGCCTAGTCAAAGTTGGCAGGCGTATTCAATGGATAAAAACGAGGGAAATGTCTGGTCAAAGAGGGTCCGAAAACCTTTCATCTGCGAGAAAAATTCTATTAAAGTTGTAACAAGGTTCTGTTTAAAAAAGTTCTCTAAAAAGCAGAAGTTATACGTTTATTTATCTTACATATCTTACGTCATCTTACATGCAAAATTGTGCTACAACTTTAAGGGATTTTTTATCGCAAAAGTAATTTTCGGACTCACTTTGACTAGACATTCTTCCTTTGTTTATATGCCTGCTAATTTTAGCTACACATTTTACATACGTCCTGTATGTAGTTTTCATATACGAAGTACTGTATTATCCGATCATATAATTCTTTATATTCAGTGCTTTTTTTTGTCATAGAACGCAATGGAACGGCGTTCCACCACTTTTTCCCCCCAAAAAAGCACTGAATAAAAGCAATGTAATATATTTTTAGTAATGAGGTGAGCGTTTCACCTCCTTTTTCCCAAAAAAGCGTTGTTTATATTACAGTTCGGCAAAACTCACTTGTCAGTTTAGCTTAGCTGTATGGAAATACCGAGCTGAGCCAAACTGGGATGTGTTGCAGCAAAGCTCATTTTTGAAATTAAATTGCATCTAGAATAATAACACACTGTACGTCGCACGTTTTTTTCATTTATCTGTTGTTAAAATAAAGACTACTCGAGCATTAAGCAATTGAACCATAAACGATTTCTAGATTAGGGGAATTATTAAAAATAATAAAGAGTAATATTTTAAAATGATATAAATAACAACAATCATTTCTAGCAAAACATGTATAGTAGAATGACGCTAATTTGAAGTAAACTGGACCGAGATTACATCGAATTACAATAACTCGGATTTTACAGAATAAGAGGAAAAATCAAGAAAAGAAAAACAATTCTTATGTAAATTCAAAAATTATGCAATAAGCAGGCTGGATGGTCGAGAAGTCAAGGTGGCAGCCTACTGCTCCTGGACCCGGAATCAAATCCGAACGGGTCGAAAAATCCCCAGGAATTTTTCGGGGATGGTCCGTTCGGATATGTCGGCCCCGTCCCTCGCCACCCGGCCGCACCACTGTAGACCTGCCTGAACCTATAATGGGCTTCCTAAAAAAGAGGCCCAAAGGGCAGAAAAAGTTTTAAAAAACTATGCAATATATTGAATATACTTTAACGAATGAAAAATAATTCATCAAAATTGCCGAAGCTACATATAGACGGGGAAGATGGTTTTTGTAACTGATTGGACTGATGTGAGATTGAAGCAAGTTTATTTATAATATATATACCAGCAGATGAGCCCGGCGTTACCCGGGCAAAAAACAACAACAAAGATTAAGTTTATGAGATTATTTCGTACTTCTAATCCTTCTATTTTAGTAGCCCGGGACGCCCGCTAGGGGCGTTCTTGCGGCAGCGGTGTCATTCCGTGGTATAAATAATAAATTCCTGTTACAAATAAAAATAATAATATACTGAATTTATTGTTAATTTAAATAATAGCTAGGAGCACCCCTAGTGGCCGTTTTTGGCATACAGTGACAGAAAGAAAGAATAATGTTTTTCAGCTTTATATATTAATAGTTAGATATTTTTTATTTATATGTAGCCTACACTACATATTGAACTTATTCAATATGACACGGGTTATATGTTGGTATAAGTTATATCGTGGTGAGCAGAAGCAAAAGCAGTAATTGAAATGAAATATCGTGAACCACAGATCGCGTGAGCCTAAAGGAAAGAAATTCACCTCGAACTGAGCTGTTTTGAGTCGATCTGAGATTTCGGATTCCAGTTGAGAGTTGAACTGACAGTCAAAATTCTAAGCTATAACTCAACTTATTTGGAAGAATTCTAATATATATATATATAAGTTATATATATATATATATATATAAGGATATAAAGACCAGTGGCATCTACTAGTAATGTTACACCATCAGAGTTAACACCAAAATGATTATAAAATTTTTGTGCGTTTATCACGTATAAATCTTTTTCCTATACGCATTTGATTTTTCTTCATTTACTTATTTACAAAGTGAAGAGGGATCCGGACCCTCCTTTATATATAGGATTCATAGGAAATATATAGAATAAGTAGAGATTGAATCATTTTTTAAGGCCCTGTACACACTAGGCGTTTTTCAACGCGCGTTTAACGCCGAGCTAACGCGCGTTAGCTCGGCGTTCGACGAGCGTTAGTTCGGCGTTTAGCACTGGCTCAGTTTGGAAATGGACGAGAAAGTAATTGATTGTGTGTGCTCCTCCATCGTCGCTATAAGGCAGCACATATATCTCAAAGCGCCCGTAAAGTGCCCGCAAAACGCGCGTTTTAACAAAAATCTATAAACGCGCGNTGTAATATATGTCATTAAAATAATTTGTTAATGGTAAGTTAAAAATTGAATTTGTTCAATAAAATTATTAAAATGTACAGTATCTCAAAATGTAAGGAATAAAATCACTGATATATACTCTTAGACAAGTAATGAAAAGTAATAATTTCTTTCAATTGTATTTTTTAAAAAAAGTTTTATGTAAAGTGATTTGTTTGAAGACAGAACAAACAAAAAAATATTTAAGATCTCATGAAAAAAAATTAAAACTTGTTTCTGTACCATTAAAAAAGGATATGTTATGGAGAATTCAATTTTCCAACAGAAAAATCCTATAGAATTTTGTAATAACCTTCCTATTCAAAAACATTAAATCTTTCAAATTAAATATTTAACTATTTTTTTTATAATTTTAGACTTAAAATTCAAATTACAAATGCATAAATTATCAACATACACGTTATCAAGGAACAGATGTTAAATATACACATGCTCTCATTTATAACAACATTGTTTTTGCATACCATCTTACTGGATAAATCAAAATTTATAAAAAAGAATAAAACTCTTTTCATTTCATTTAAAAATTATTACAATAATAAACAGAAAATCTGAAAAAAATATTTTGTTATTATTAAGTTTTAAGCCAATCATTTATTTTATTTGTATATACAATTTAACTACTAAATTATTACCGAAACTTGAATTCAAATAGATATAATTTTCCCAGGTACAAAACTGAAACTAGCCATGTAATTACTTTAATGTATATAAGACATTGTTTTTTAAATTTATTATTATAATTTTTATTTAAAACGCTTAATAATCTATTTATCTTTCAATGTTTAGGATTATTTTATTATAATATTTATAGATTAACGCTGTGTAACCATTATTTTAATGCTAAATTCAAATATCTAGCAAAGGTAACTTTTATGTAAATTGTCTATATACAAATATACACATAATTACCTAAAAGTAACTTCTACCACAAATCTTATGTGTATTAGTTA